AGCGATCTGATGACCGGCTTATAAATCGATTAAGCGCGGCGGCCATACCGGCCAGATGCTGCACGTCCTTAGCTGAGCTGGGCTGCTTCAACTCTTGCACGGCTCTGATCTGAGTAGGGTTTGCTTCGATGCCTTGGTTCGTGACTAGGAATCCCAAAAAATTTTCGGGTCCCACGCCAAAGGCACACTTTGAGGCGTTCAAGCGCAGCTTGTGCTTCTTTAAAATGGCAAACATCTCGGCTAAGTCAGACAAATGGTTTGCCTCATGTCGGCTTTTTACCACCATATCATCAATGTAAGCCTCCATTGTCCGGCCGAGCAAAGGAGCAAACATTTTGGTCACCATCCTCTGAAAGGTTGCCCCGGCGTTCTTCAAACCAAAAGGCATGACCCGGTAGCAGAAGAGTCCCCTTGGAGTTGTGAAAGAGGTGATCTCTCGGTCAGGCCCATGCATGGCGATTTGGTGATAGCCGCGGTACGCATCCAAGAAACTGAGCCTATTGTGTCCAGCCGTCAAGTCCACTAGCTGGTCTATGCGCGGCAAAGGGAAGCTGTCTTTGGGACAAGCTCGGTTGACTGTCTTGTAGTCGACACAAACTCGCCACTTTCCATTCTTCTTAGGCACCACTACCGTGTTGGAAATCCACCGAGGGTAGTGCACTTCCTGAATTGCTCGTGCCTCAAGCAGGTTCTTTACCTCCTCAGTAACCACCTTGGCGTGATGCAACGCCGATCTCCTTGTTCGCTGGATGACTGGCTTTGCTCCAGGGAAGACATTGAGGTGATGGCAGATAAAACTTGGGTCGAGGCCAGGCATGTCGTAAGGCGACCATGCAAAGACTTCGATATTCGCCATCAAAAACTCAATCATCTCGGTCCTCTCTATGGCCGTGAGACTTGAACCGAGCAAGAAGAATTTGTCTAGCTGCTCGGTATCAATCCGTACCTCAACCAATTCCTCAACAACCTTATCTTCGGCCTTGGTGTCCACATCATCCAAGACACCCTGGTCCTCCGGTCCCTCAATCATTTGAACGAATCCTTTGGCAGCCCAGCTTCCGTTGACCGCCACAAAGCACTACTTGGACATGACCTGATCGCCCCAAATCTCCTCGATTGCCTCCATAGTCGAGTGGAATCTCATTACTTGGTGAAAGGTTGATGCCACGGCTTGCATAGCATGTAGCCATCCCCTTCCAAGGATAAGGTTGTACGTCGAAGGCACTTGCAGCACCCAAAACTCAACTTGTTTGACCACGGATCCCGCTTTGACCGGCAGGATAATCTTTCCCAAAGGCCACTCTGGTTGCGAGTTGAATCCAACTAGTGGCGAAGTTGCCGGAGCCAAGTCTGTCTCCCGGAGTTTAAGCTGCTTGAACGCATCATAGTACATGATCTCGACCGAGCTTCCCTAATCGATCAAGATCCACTTAACATCAAAGTCCTTGACGCGTAGTGTTACTACTAGGGCATCGTTGTGCGGCGTCTGGATACGCTCTAGATCCCTTGAGGTAAAACTAATCACGTCTTTTTCTTCAGTCTTCCCCCTTTTGATGGCAGGCTGTACCGACAAAACTTCCCTCATATGCTCTGCCTTTTTTATCATGCCCCGAAGTTCACAAACTCGCTCCGGTTCCATGATGCCGTGGATGACATTAACAACTCCTTGTGGTGGTGCGTCTCGGTCATCCTGTCCCCTGGGATCGACCGGAGCCTGATTCGGCTTTACTCCGCCATCAATGTAAAGGTCTAGATGCCCGGCCTCAACCAGCTCTTCCAAGTGCTGGCGCAATGGAAAGCAATCCTCTGTTCGGTGGCCCCTCTCCCGGTGGAATGTGCAGCGATACCGCAGATTGTAGCCCTTCTGTCCATCGCCCAACTTAGCAAGAAACCGAACATACTCCTCGTCTCGGATTTCACTAAGTATGCGATAAATTGGAATCTTGAAGACTGTGGTGATGCCGGTCCTCACCTTCATCCTTCGGTTTGTGTCTGCTATGTCATCTCGGGGGTAGTCATCCCGGTCATTCCGGCGTCCTCTGCCCCGATTTTTTCTGTTCGAACCACGGTCCGATTCCTCTGCTCGGTCACTTGAGCGGCTGGGTTCTTGCCCAACTGCGTGCACTTTGCCTGCTGTCTTTTTGTCTGTTGCTACCGGGGTGGCCTTCACGGTAGAAGCTGATGCGTCATCCTCTACTCGGATGTGCTCATTGATGCGCTGCATGAGCTGGCCCATGGAGGTCGGCTGGTGCATGGTAAGCGAGTCCCGCAGTCTATGTCCGACCGGGAGACCACGCTTGTATTGCGTGATTGCAAGGTTGACCGGGCAGTCCAAGTTCTCGTTGAAGGTTTCCCAGTACCTTGAGTTGTATACCTTCAGTGTGTCGCTCGGTTCCATCTTGACACTTAGCAGATGATCAACTTCCTTTGGCGTCTTTGTGTTGGTTTTGAAGCGTGTAACAAACGCCTCGGCCAGCTGGTGCCACCTTTGTATACTCCCTTCCGGCAACCTCTCGAACCATTTTAAGCCCAGCTCGCCCAAATTTGACGGGAAGATTAAGCACATAAGTCCGTCATTGCGCCTATGTCCGGCCATAACCTGTCGGAAGTGGCTCACATGCATATATGGATCGGTTTTCCCGTCGTAAAGTATGAACTTAGGCTGGTGGAAGCCTGCCAGAAGCGGTGTTGTTTCTATATCCAGGGAAAAGGGGGTGGCGCTCAGCCTGGCCAAGTCCGTATCCTCAAAGAGCGGCACTGCTTGGCGGGGTGGAGGCATTCCAACCTCCTCGCTGGCGTGAACCCCGTAAGATAGTCGCTGGAGAGTAGGTATTCTCTGAGCTTCACACCGGCGGGCCTGCTCCTTCAAGACCGCCCGTAAATCCTCTGACTGAGCGGAGTAAGAGTACCTCAACATCGTCTCCGGACGTGAGGGTTTGTAGGTGCTGTCTTGCGCGCTAGATTTCCCTGCACCCACGTCGGAATCACCAACCTGGTAACTTCTGGTAATGGATATTGACTGAGTACGTCGCTGACTCTGATCGTCTGAACGGCGGGATGGGGTGCGCTCACTGTGGTCTCCCACTCAAACTACACTCTTCCCTTTGACATGCCGCTTGAGATCTTCCATCTCCGCCGCCATTCGCCGGATGACAACATCTTGATCCCTCAACTTGCTTTCCAGTCGCCTGGCGTGCGAGTCTCTCCTCCGCCAGTGACCGTCTGGACTCCGTGAATGTCCGTGACTTTGTCCGCGCTTGTCCCGCGCGTCTCCTGACTGTCCGCCAGTGGGCGTTCCCAAGTCAGCCATTGGGTGGACAGCAGGAGGTCCCTCTCTCCTACGGGTATACTCCGGGGTGGCTCCGTCGATGGCGAACAACGAAAACTCGTTGTTGTTCGCCATGGACGGCGATCAGATGAACCTAGAAAACAAGGTTTTGTCTGTCAAATTCCCACAGACGGCGCCAATTGTACGGGGAGCAAATATTCCGGCAAGCCCGTACTCATTTCTTTCGAGCTCCGTCGATGTCCGATCACCTGCGAGCAAGTAACGGTGAGCTACCCAGCGGTGTGTGGCCGGAAAACCCCTCCGACGGTCAATGTTAAGCACACAACCGAGAGAAGGGAGAGAATTGTGTTTAGTGTATGTCTCACCAAATGTTCGTGTGTCGCGGTATGGGGGGCGCAGACATGCTTATATACCTTCTGAGCCCCATATCCACTCCCAGTCATCTCCTAACACGTGGCTCTGCTATCCCATCTGTCAGCGTAAACCTTGCCGATCATCACCTAATCTCAACTGCCTGACTTCACAGCTGGAGCTCGGCAGCCGAGCTGCTCTACCACGGCCATGCCATGCTTCATACCCAACCGCCTAACCGGATAAACACATGGAGGATCGGGCTAGGCGGCATCCCGGCAGTGCCTAGCCCGGGTACCTCCTTTAGTCGGCCTTCCTGCCGGTCAAACAGTCTCCTTGGTTGACCACGCCTTTCCGGGCGTCGGTCACTCAGCTTGTCTGGCTTCAGCCATCCCCTGATCAGGCAGCTCGGTCCAACCAAGCGCTATCTAGCCGAGCTCCTTCTTGGGCCGGGGCAGCTCACACTTGGCCCAAGTTTTGCCCGGCTCAAGTTCTGGTAGCCCACTTCTTGGCGGATGGTCAACCATCTCGGCCCCACGCACCGTTGGGCTCTCAATCTGCTCGGCCGTTACTTCGACCCAACTCCTGATCATAAATCACCCTCTCAGACACCAATTGGTGTGTTTAGATATTGTAATAATATAGATATTCTTCACAATATCCCAATTTTTTCTGTCTCATTTGTGATTTCTGTGTTTTTTTTTTTATAATTATTTTTAGATTTTCTGTGTTGAACTTTTGATCATATATGTGGATGTATATATATATATATATATCTGGTTTTGATGATGATGATGATGTTTTGGTTTAAATTTCTATTTCTCTTTCTTCTCTCTTCTCTCTTTCCTCTTCTCTTCTTTCTTTCTTATTCTTCTTCTTTGTTGAAGAAGAGAAGACACAGATCAGAGCAGAGAAAGAGCCAAAAAAAAAAAAAAAAAAAATCAAAACGGCATCGTTTTGATTTTTGGGCCAGTCGAGCTAGCGGCATTGAATTTAAGAGTTGTTTGAAATGTTCTAAATAAATGTACTTTTTGACTTTTCATGAAATATGGATTGAATTTAAAGTGATGTGATAGAGAGGTGATATGACTTAAATAAAATGAAATGTCTTAAATAAAATAATAACTTTTTAATTTTTATTAAAGATGTGAAACTTGACCTTAAAATACATAAAATTGACGTTGAATTTTTTTTTTTTTTGGTCTTATTCATTTACTGATGGATGCCTTTAAGAAAATTGGAAAGGATGCGGAGGTCATAAACAAAATCGGTGAAGGACAATCCCGTAATTGAACGTACACAAGTACAAATCAAAAACTCAATTTTTAATTTTTATAATTTTCGCGGCTTTCTTTCTGTATATCGATGAGTGAGTGGTGTGGTGTGTTGTTTTTTTGTTTTTCTGACAATATTCTGTCTCTGCATACGGCCATGGGGCTTCGTGTTCCAAATCCAGTCCAACTCCAATACACACAATTTTACACATATTATAGAGAGAGAAAAAAAGAAAAAATAAAGTACCAAAATCTTACAACAAACCACACACTCACACAGACCCTAATCAATGAATTCACATTAATGGTAGTTTAGTTTTTCTCTTTTTTATTTTTGTCCCATCGAAAAGTGTAATTATTTAATGGGTTACCACCATTGCTGTTCTTGTTACGCTCCTTGCTCTCTCTCAGCGATTCATTTCTAGGGTTTGGAGGTTTTACTTATTACTTGCACATTTCTCCTAAAATGGTCTGATCTGCAGTTTTTTTTTTTGTTTTTGTTTTTGTTTTGTGTGGATCAGAGTAGTGTCACTCAGATGTCTGCTTCTGTAACTGTCAATGTTGTGATTGATCTCTACTTCTAGGGTTTGTTTTCATCACTGTCATTGTTGTTTTAGCATCCTTCAAAAAGTTTTTGCCCTTTTTCTTTATTCTACTTTATTTTTATCGATTTATTTTTGATGGAAATGTACCATTTAGGAAGCTGTTTTAGTCTATGATTTTATTGTTTTTATTTTTAAATTAAAAAAAAAGGTGATGTGAAATAGGGTTTTTCTTAGTTGATTTACAGGTTGCTAGATTTCTGCTTTTGGGGGATGTCATCAGCTTTCTAGGGTTTTTTAGATCAGTTTTTTTGGTTGTGAATGGTGTTTGGATTTTAAGGTTTTAAAGTTGAAATCTTCAGGATCTCTTGTCGATCCTTTGAAGCTTTTGAGCATTTTTTTAGGATGGTCGTTGCCTACTTGAAAATGTTTTTCTCTGATCTCTAATTCATGTTAGGAAAATGAGGCATGTTTTGGAATAGAAATATTTCTGTTCTATCGGATCATTTACAAGGTAAAGTGAAATTTTCAGTTCTAGGGGCTGGTTTTTGGAGTTGCAATTGTGAATGAGAAGAAAGAATCTAATTTGGGTGAAGAAGAAGAAGTTGGTGATGGATTTTTTCAAAGTGAAAAAGTTTAGAAAAGCCCACAAACCAAACCCAGAAAAGGATTCAGAGGATGAGCCGGTTCCGCAGCCGGAAGAGCCAAAGAATGATAAAGGTGACGAGGTGGGTAAACCAGCCAATGTGGATCCTTCTGCTGAAGCTGAGGATGATGATGATGATTTCATCACGAATGAGGTTAAGAGGAGATTGAAAGAACTAAGAAGAAACAGTTTTATGGTGTTGATACCTGAAGAATCTGGCATGGAAGGGGAGGAGGAAGAAGAAGAGGAGGCTGAGACAAGCTCTAGCGAGTTGAGGGATGTGGAAGCAGAGGGTCAACAGCCATGGTGTGGGATCGATGCTGTTTATGGCAAATACTGTGACCAGATGCTATTCTTTGATCGTTTGAGTGCTCAGCAGCTAAATGAAGTTGGTAATATATTTTATGATTTATAATTTCTTTCTTACTGATGTTACATATCTTGAGGTCAATTTTTTTACTGTTGACATTTCTTCTAGGAAATTATTGATGTTCATTATTTACTGGTACCTGTTCATGTTGTGTACATTGAAGGTTTGTATTTTGATCTCTGCTAGATCAACATGCTCCTTGGGGTTTTAAAATAACTAAAGCTAGGGGTGAAAAGAGATATATTAAAAAAAAAAAAAAAAAAGGCAATCTAGTGTTGCATGGAATTAGATTTACACGGGAAACTCATTTTTAATCTCATGTGTTCTCCAAGTGCAACTCTCTGGGTAGGTTCTTAGATTATTGAACACTAATAAATAATTGTTTGGTTCAATTTTGGAATTAAAGTTGTTTGGTAAGTTAAATAGACTTCATTAAGATAGTTCCTTATGACACGTGACATTTTTTGAACTATTCGTGCTTTAGTTGTCAGTAACAAATTCCCCTGCCGTTAAGCAGACATTAATTAGGCGACAAAGTTTAATTGTGTTGCTCTGATTGATCCATCCCTACATCACTGCCTCAAAACAGTTAAGTCCCATATTCCATATATAGGGAGAGAAGAGACGCAACAAGCAATTTACTATTGCGTTATATTGGAACATATGTAGCAATTTATTCATATCATTACGAGTCTTTGATACACTTGTGTGCATCATGTTTATACGAGTCTTTTATATATAAACATGTACAGATACATATGACAATGGATGAGATAGTTCTAGAGAGAGATTTTGTACAGAGAAAGAGAATGGTAGAAATAAAGAGCATTAATTAATATAGAGTGAGGAAGATGGCTAGTGCAGGTTGCTAGGTTGGTGGTAACGTGGGCTATTGTAGTGATTTATTATTGAGGTGTGCGTATAGCGGAATCTAAGGTAATGAAGTTGGCCTGTGTTTGGTAGCGGTGGAGATGTAGTGGTTTTGGATTTTGCTGCTAGTGGTGGTTTGGTGGTTGTTGGAGTAAGCCAGTGGCCATGGTAGCCTTTGGTGATATAAGGCTCTGATGGTTTTAGGGTTTTTGTACAAATCAAGAAAGAAAAATATTATGTTATTGTTTGTGTATATTTATCCAATTTTGAAAGGTCATTCTTTGAGGGAGTGCTTCTAAAGGCTGAGCCTAGTAAGGTAAATTTACATTTTCCCTTATGTTGTGCTGCAATTAATGAAATCATATGGAGGTCAATTTCTTTTTTCGTTTTCTTCATTTGTGAATTTTTCTAAACCCTTGCAAATAATTAATGAATTTTTAATCTAAGTAATTAGCATGACGAAAGGGGATAAACATGAGCAAGGAAGAAAATCTTCCAGTCACCCTTCCCATAGATAAGGAATAAGACCTGAAAGTCAAAGAGAATCACCATGAATGAGGATATGGATGAGCAGCCAAGCAAGATCCGGTTCGTCATCCGCTTAAGATCCTATAGGTTGGATAGCAAGATTTTGATTATTGTAACCTTATCCCCGCATGCTAATTTTATGATCCCTGCATGCTAATTTTATGATAACTGAGACTGGTGTTTGATTTCTTTCATCTCATGTGAATTTCTAGCTTGGCTGCTGTGTATAGTAGTCTGAATTTGTGACAAAAATTATGTTTCTTTGTATTGCAGGCTCCCGTCCTGCAACTCCATCACCAAGATCTGCATCTAAGAAGCTCTCATCCCCCCTAAGCTGCCTTTCCTTGAAAAAGATAGAAGAGCCTGAGGACGAAACTGAGCACCTGCAGCAGCCACAAAATAATCCACATCAGGATCTTGAAACTGCATATGTAGCTCAAGTTTGCTTAACTTGGGAGGCACTCCACAGCCATTACACACAATTGAGCCAGAAAATCTCTTGCCAACCTGAAAATTCCACCTGTTACAACCACAGTGCTCAGCAGTTTCAGCAGTTCCTGGTCTTGCTACAAAGGTATATTGAAAATGAACCTTTTGAACAGGGTTTCAGAGCAGAAATTTATGCTCGATCAAGAAATTCAATGCCAAAACTGCTACAGGTCCCAAATATACAAGGTAACTCCCCTGTATATATTATAGTGCTTAATTGGAAAATTTGAATTCACCCTATCTTTCTTTTTTTTTTCACCTTCCTTTTTTTTGATTGGCGAAAGTCAGTGGTTAGTTGTTAGATTAGCAAATGGGGGGAGTTGAAACTTATACCCATACACCTTGATCTTGCTTAAGCTGTTGAATATGGAAGTGCTTTTTAAGGTTGGCTTCCATGTGCTTGTTGTTTGAAGTTATTCACTTCATGAAATCTTTTTAGGTTCAGATAAAAAAGAGACAGAAGAAGAGGAGTCCGATTTACTAGTACTTGCGCCAGATCTAGTTAGAGTAATTGAGAGTTCAATTCTCACTTTCCACCTTTTCCTGAAGATGGACAAGAAAAAATCCAGTGGCGTTCGTAATCTATTTGGAGGTCAGAACCAGTTGGCTACTCCTCTCCAGCAGATTAAATCTGCTCTTGAGAAGGTGACTTCAATTGTGTCTTTATATATTTTCTTTTACAGTTACGGTCCAGTCGCTTAACTTTTTAGGTTACTTTTTATATAACTAGTAAACCAGCCATTACATGAATAGCTTTTTATCAGACCTTTTAAATCACTTATACATTTGTAATGTTTGAGCTTCTAAATGTTAATAGCTGCATTTTTTTACCCTGATACCCATCACTACATTTGACACATCCTTTAGAAGTGTATGTGCAATAAGCCAATACCAAATCAGCTGCACATAAATATCTAACGGTATACTTGCATGTGTGTGCGTGCACATGTTTATTATTTGTTTAAGTATTTGTAAATTTTCACCTTTCTTTTCAATGCATTAATTTGTCCCAGTGCAATTGATATCAGTTATATTCAATGTTGTCATGATTGTACGATAAATATTAAAAGAGACATGTATCGCGTACTTGTATCGTTTTTAACTTGAATGGTGAGACGTGTTTTTGTATCATACAATTTCATATCCTATCACGATTCAACATGTAATGCATGCTAATTTAACCGTTAACTTACCCTTCACCTTTGGCCTTGTTAAACACCTTTTATTCACTGTCAATTACAATGTCCGACACCCATTGAACAATCATGAACTATATTCTCAAAAATCCTATACAAAAGATACCAAGAAAAAATGGCTCCCCATACTCCCTTTGTTAAAAGAAATTGAATTTCTCTTATGGATCTAATTCAGGTGAAAGAAACAAAGGATTCACACACACAATTTGTTGGACTTGAAGTTAAGACTCTAGATTCGAGACAAAAAGGTTTATTTGGACCATGACAGTAAACTATGTAAGAAGTATTTTTGCGACTACTCATCCCAATAAGTCATAAAGAATGTTGCAAATCACGAACCCAACAGACCCCGAGATCAAAACAGCTGAATCTGATTGAGGGGAAAAAGTTGTTTTTTATATTTGCAATGAAATATTGTTTATCTTCTGTTTTATTAAATTTTCAATTTTCTTTGTAATTTCTTATGAGTTGCATACTAAAGTTTCTAGTGAATAAAAATTTACTTTTTTGACCAATTTGTAAGTTTCTTAGTGAGAATATTTCATGTCATAGTTTATATGATTTGGTACTTTGTTCTTATAATATATTTATATATTATATAAAATTACTTATTTTTAATGTGTACATGTACATATATATTAATGTATCTTATGGTACATGATACAATACACAATACATTGAAGTGATGCAACAATAAATGATATGAATCACAATTTGACTACACTATATGACTTGTGCGATGCTGTATTGTAATAAAATGATATGTATAAGGGGTTGATGAATGTATGAAATGAATTTCTAATCTTGAAGGGCCCGTTTGTTTTTAGAGGTAGAACGGAGGGGATTGATAGTGAAGGGGATTAAGTAAAATTGTGTTTGTTTTAGTGATAGTTGTTAGTGTGGGGATTGTTTAATTATTTTTATATTAAACAAATCTAAAATAATAAAACAAATAAAACCATGGTTTTTACTTAACAAAAAATACAAAAACATTAAACATTAATTTTCACAATGTGCTGCCCAAAAAAAACAAAAAAATTGCACTTGGACGGTTGACAGGCTGGACGTTTGGCCTGACGATCGGTAACACCCTAAGCTGAACTGACTATTTTCTAATACCACCTCTTTGTCTAGACTCGTAATCCGCTCCACTGAGGCCTTTCATAGTCCGAAGGAGCTCCATAAACCAAACAAGCATGATTTACAAACACTGTTCATCACTAGGAGTCCACTCCAGACTCCTACAACGGAAAACAAATGGGCTCGAACAAAAATGGATGAAATGTACAATGATCAGAAAGCTGTTTACATTCACTATTGCAGTGGTCTATTAAATTATGCTTGAAATAATGGGGCCAAATGTTAGATGATATTCAGAAGTGACCTAATAGAAAAGACTAAACATCATGTAGCCCTTCCATGGTAAGTTGGGCACATAGGCAGAATATTTTATTTTATTTTTTTTTCTGCAAACATTTTTGGGGTAATGTTTTTAATATCGATAGATTTAAATAATTTAGGGCGTGCTTCAAATTATTTGGTCCGATTTGCATGGATGTTGTTTATGAGTATGCTACACCAATATGTGATTCAATTGTTAGGACAATTTTTCAGCTTGTACTGAATTTGTGGTTTTGTCTCTAGATCTTGGTTTTACCTACTAACACTTGTAATACTTCTTGTTTATAGGACATTATTTAGTGGTCTCAGTGCATATTTACCTTCTCACTACTGATCAATTAATTCAACCATGTTATTTTTTGACGGCTAACCTTTTATTCCACCCTCGTCATGCACGACACACACGCTTGTGAACAGACACATCTATTAGCATGTGCTTTAAAGTTAAGCTTCCATTCCCAGACTTCAAAAACAATTGCATTTTTGCCTTTCGTTTTTTGTTGGATCTCTGGAGTAGATCTGTGCCAATGTTTCTGTCTGGAAGGAAAAAGAATCTTTACCTAAATCTTTGTTGACCAATTTTGCACAATTTATGTTTCTGACAATTATACCCCAAGTGCTTGTTTGGCATGGGTTTGCACGACACACACGCCTGTGAACAGACACATCTATTAGCATGTGCTTTAAAGTTAAGTTTCCATTCCCGGACTTCAAAAACAATTGCGTTTTTGCCTTTCGTTTTTTGTTGGATCTCTGGAGTAGATCTGTGCCAATGTTTCTGTCTGGAAGGAAAAAGAATCTTTACCTAAATCTTTGTTGACCAATTTTGCACAATTTATGTTTCTGACAATTATACCCCAAGTGCTTGTTTGGCATGGGTTGGGGCTATTTTAGCCACAAAAATATAAAATAGGCTTTTTAGCCCCAGGCTAAATATTTTTACATCCAAATCATAATCATTATATTTTTTTCTATCACAAAAGTCAAAAAAGGTTAAAAAGCCCATCCCAAAGGCTAAAATAGCTAAAAAGCCAACTCACATCCCAACCGAAGTAAGTTTAACATGCACCTCTCTCTCCCTCTTACCCATAAGTGTGCGTTTCTTAATGTTTAAGGGTTTTTTTTATTTTTTTTTAATATTTTAATTCTCTTTAATACTTGGCTGAATTCATGAGATTTTGCATATATAGTAATAGAATTCACAAGATTTAACATATTTAACAGAATTCATGAGATTTAACATATATAGTAAATTAGTAATAACACTATTTAAAATATCTTGCTCTTTGAATTATAAATTTGTAATTCCTTGTAATTTGAAGCAAAAGTGTCTAATTGCAGTTAAACAATGCATCTCACCCTTTTTCACTGCGTTCTCATCACATGTTAAATGTTTGAGAGAGAAGTATCCATTGTAGGGTTATCTTGTGGATTATATGGTGACAGGTGGGTCTGTTGAATGAATCCCATTTTATGGAGATGAAATGATTCATTCTAAAAATTGGCTTTAGATTGTGAAATTTATTGCAACTAATAATAATTGACCTATCTTATTTATCAAAAAATAATAATCGACCTTTCTTATGAATTGAGTTACTGCCTTAATTAGTACTACAAATTTTTTTTTAATTATTTTCAATGTGCTGAACATAATGTACTCTGGAATTTTGTGCATTAACAAGTATCTAGATGGTATTTTTGTTTTTGGGTATTTCAGCTACTAATCTTGATAGGGCCCTCCTGATAATAGCTGAGAGTGGTATTTCCTCGTAGTTTAACCTGTTGAAAAGGGATCACTTTTCAAACTTATTCAATTTAAGTGCAATGACAATCACTTTTCAGTTTTGATTTCCGAAAATTGATCATGTTATGTGACTTTTGTCACCTTAAAGCTGCAGAAAGAGATGAAACTGAAGGAACTGCAGAAAAGGATGAAAGGTTGGAAGAAGAAATCATGGCCTGCAACTCAAGAGGAAGCTGAGCTGTTGCTTGGTCTTATTGATGTCAAAGTTATGTCAAGGGTTCTAAGACTGGTGAGGATCACTAAAGAGCAGTTATTTTGGTGCGCGGAAAAGATGAAGAAACTAGATTTGTCTGATGGAAAACTGCAGAGAGATCCCTCTCCCATCCTGTTTCCTTGCTAAATAGCTCGAAAGAATCGCAGGACAGAACAAACTAGGAAGGTCAGTTATGTATGGATGTTGCAAACAAATCCCATTTTCATTTCTTTTCTAACATCAGTTCTCGGGGTTTGTTTTTTTTATATTGATGTGAGATATCTTTTTTCAGTCATCAATGGGGCAAGAAAAGTAGAGGGGACTCAAACTATGCAACTTAGTCTTTCTAGTTTGAACAAATTTCAGTTGTATTTGGATATTATTATCGAGGCCATACCGCAGATACTTTTTGGGTTTTTTTGTAAATCTGTGGAAATGATATTATCTAAAAAGGTACATTAGGTTGTTATGTTTCATACATTGGCGTAAGATGGGTTTATGATTTTAGGTTAATTACTTTTTATCCGATCTTATAGCAGTGAGTAGCTTAGGTGAATCTCATATACAAATGGTCAAATTATGAGAAGTTCTTCAACATCCAACCTTGGATGTTACTGGGTGGATTCCCGGGTGTGAGTACATTTGTTTCTGTTTTTCAATTTGGAGGGTTGTTCTTTTTATTTATTTATTTTTGTTATATGAAATGCGTACTGTATTACTTAGTCAACACCCTTGTTCAAACGCATGGTTCACAAGGATATCCATAATTTTTGTAACTTATATCCGTGCATTTTCTTGAAGCTAATTCCGCATACATATGTAAATATAAATATAATAATAAGAATTCTCATAAACAACCCTAACTAATTACTTGCGTTGTGCGCTAAATAACGTGTAAACTTTTATTGCAAGCTCTCTGCCAATTGTCTTGTAATGGTGTAAAGTCTTTAATAATTTGAAAAAGTTTAAAGACAGAAATTGATAAGAGAATGATACATTTCTCTTGTTGTGGGTTCTATCTTTTTTTGTAGATTTGACACAATTGTGTTTAATTTTGTGATTAATTTATGTATAAATTGAAAAATAACTTTGAAGCTAGCATTTCATAACCGTCACTAGACTATCATTTCATGCGCGAGCACACGAATCAAACGGAAAACTATGTGGTCCATGGACCTTCAAGAGAACTATGGTCCCAATTGTTGAAGTTGAGTTGAGAAACAATACTACTTGTCTTATAGCTAATATTATTTTACGTCATAATCAAAATCACGACTTTGTTTTAGAACCAACATTGTTACATCTCATAATCGAATATCATTTAATTTCATAACCAATGAACTGTAGTTTGATTTTATTTTTTTTTTGAGAATAGAAACTCCACTTTGATTTGATCCCCACTTTAATTCGTAGTCAAAAGATTTAATTTAATCAAATACTCATTGTGATATGATCTATTGTTTTGTTATAAGCAAGATATTTTTAATTTCAAAATTTTGTCATTGTGTGATATATCAGTTAATAAGATAATTTTTTTAAATTTATTAATTTGTATAGTGTACGGGGTGAAATATTTTTCGTTCTCCTTACTCCTTGAGTCCAAGGTTCACGTAACGTCGCTTATCTTGAAAACAGAAAGAAGGTGAGCTGCCCGACAGTGTGCTGCCAGATAAACCTTTCGACGATCAAGTCAATACACTTGGAGAAGAAGAAGAATGTAGAGAGCGCTTTTGAGAAAGAGAGTTGTGAATTCCTTCCCGTTTGTTTTGGGGTTAAATAGATGGGAGGGGATTAGGATGGAGGTAGAGTTATTTAGTGTTGTGTTTGTTTGTAGAGTTGGAGAGGGGATTAGGATGGAGGAGGTGATATAGATGGAGGTTGGAAGGGGGATTGAGATGGGGGAGGTGGAGATGGAGATGGTATTAGAAAAATAGTGAGGGGATTAGAATTTTTTTTATTTTTTATATATTGGGATTTTTTTTAAAAATATTAATGTTTAATTTTTTATATTTTTTTATTTGTTTTATTATTTTATATAAAAATAATTTAACAATTTCTATACTAACAACTATCATCAAAACAAACACAACTTTACTTAATCCCCTCATTATCAATCCCCTCACTATTAATCTCCTCCATTCTACCTCTGAAAATAAACGGGGCCAGATTGCTTACCTCTAACGTCCCTCAATTCCTCATTTTCTAGGCTGGCCATGCAGCCTTAGAGATTGTAGGCGCATTACCTCTGCTGTCATTCCCTGGACAGGCGGCTGTGCTCCCCTCTACCTTCCTTACATGTGTAGAGACTAAAACCTCCAAACAGTATTTGTTGAACCGCCAAACGGTATTGACGTATACCAGGAGTGAATTTTCCCTTCTTCATATCATTGGTCCAGGTGGCTCACAAAATCGGGCTATCACGACCGACCTATCACTTGGGAGAAACACCACAATGACTAGGACGACCGAACTATAATAAGTCGGTCCATCTGAACTGACCGGTCATGAGGCGCGTGGTTTGACATCTCGGTTTCCCCCCGTTACCTTGTAAAGCATCTCGACCCAAATTCAACCTGGACTGTCCGTGGCTTAGCCCAACGCATTACTGCGGATCTAACCGAATATTAGGCCGAATCATAGCTCGGTTGAGCATTTGTGTGTCTCCGCATTTTGATCGACGATTTGCTCGGCCCAATGTGAGTTGCGTTGGTTCAGTTCGATTAGACACAGGGTCTGGCCCTCACAGGGCCTAACACCATACCCCGCGCTACCATAGCTCGGCCCTATTGTTCGGCGCAAATCCCCCTCTCAATTGCCCCTTAATCCCATATGAGCTGAGCATGATTGGATTATTATTCTGATCGAGCTACCTGATTTGGCCGGTTATTGAGGATTACGCTAATAGTCTTGTCATTGATCATTCAGCGGTACTGACAAACCGTTTTTTCGATGCCACGTGTCTTCGCCCCATTGGTTTCGTGCAACCCCGTAGTTGTCTACATTATTCTAAGGATTTGAAAAGTTATCGCCCACTCATTTTCCCCCATATATACACACTAGAAGCCCAAAGACCCTTATCACTATTCATCTCTCTTATTCAGAAATCCTAAGCTTCAAACCTCCAAGCTCCTGCCACCGCTGCCATCACTGTCGCCGCTGCTTTTCGAGTCATTTTCAGCTATCTCTGTCTTCACGAAGGCTTTAGACAAGGTTGTGGTCGACTGGGTCTTGACTTGGCATGCATACCCATAAGTTTTTCTATCCTTCCTTTGTGTTCTCCATTAATGTTCTTCGTGTTCTTGTCTGGGACTGTTGATACCCTGCCAGTGCCCCTTCTTTAGGGTAAAGCTGGTAGGTAAGCAGACATTAGGTAGAACTGGAATCGAAGAGGCGGATGGGGCCATCGTGCCCTTCGTTTCCCTTAGTTTCAATGCATGAACTTCATATTTAGGATGAATAGCATAAGTCTTGGATAAGACCGAGCAAAATCTCACTTTTAGATCCAAAAATAGGATTTAGCCAAGCAAAAACTGGTTTGTGGTCCTCCCTTGAGGCTGAGATTGAGCTGTAAGTTGTAGGGAGCTAGAACTGAGATAGGAAGATCGAACCGACGTAGATAGTTGAACCGAGACAAGAAGATCGAACCGGTCAAATGCCCCAGGATCCTTTACCGAGCTAAACACTTCCTCATAAGAGCCATGCAAATTATGCCGCGCTAATACTTGGACTTATTTTTTAATAATGCAAAACAAATTAGGACCGACCAGGCCCACTCAGCATTACTATTAGTGAGGCTCAAAGTCCGAGCAAACAATCACCAAATTTTGATTGAGCTAGTACAAAAATTAACCAACTAAATAAAACCGGGATAGATGGGGAAGTACCGTTTTATGGTCAGCTCTCCTGGGGCAATGACTGAATTCCGTAAAGAGTACAACATCCCAGACGATGTCCACTTGGAGCTGGCCAATAAAAAAGACACTTCCTGGGGCGAGCTGGACAAATGCCCCTTCACGGTCATGTCTATTCTGGAAGGCAGCTTACGTTTCTTGGTTCAACCCATGATCTACAAGTTTTTGAGGTAGACTAGGTTGTGCCCCATCCAAGTTTCAAACAACACGTACAAAATAATAAATGGCGTGGCCGCGCTGAACCGAATGCTCGGCTTAAATCTTGGCCTTGCCAAGATATTCCACCAATATACCCTTAGTAAAAATAAAAGCGGCTTCTACTGGTACCTCAAGGTCAGAAAAGGCTGAGCAAAGCTCATTGAGGGTAATCCAGACAAAGAGGTGAATGATGACGATTTCTTGTGGGTGTCTAGGAATTACGAAGACACCGAAGCGCCCATACGGGGCTGGTACATCCATAAAAATTTTGGCAGTACTGGTGAGCATCACAGCACGGTTTAGTTCTTCGGATTCGATTTGTTCTAACCGATCTAACACTTGATTTTATTTTTGCAGATTACAAACTTTTGGCGAACGATTATTCTAATGCTAACCAGGAGGCTATATGGGTTACTCTTTGGCACCCGGCGGAAGGAAGAGAAGCTCAGAAACTGCTCGAATTCTAACCAAGCTACCGATATACTGTACCGCGCAAGAGTTGGATCCCCGATTTTTTTCGCGCTCCTTTCCCAAAACCAGATCCCATTCTTCCACCGATCAGACTAGTTCCTTTTATACCCAAACAGGAGATGGCAAAAATCTGCGCTATCAAATCGATGATTACGGGCAAAGCGAGCGACTTCCAGCTCGCGGAAGCTGCAGGGGGCCAATCCTCTGTACCAAACGTGCTAGATAAGAGACCGGTGCTAGCTCTTACCAGCGAGCGAGCTACTGGTCGGTCCAAGAAGGGACTGAGGTCGGCACAGGCCGAGCAAAATTTTATCGATAAGGATTCAGTCGAGCTGCTGTCGTCTGGTCAGGGAGACCAGACTGAATCTCTTGCCAGGTAATCAATCCGATCGACTGCCCTCATAGTCTGGTCGCTCGAGCTGACGTATAAAGGCCAAGCAGTGTTGGTGGTTGATTCGGTTTACGCCAACAAGGACTATTCGCTTAGCTTTAACATGACCAAGGGCTTATTATTCCCTGCGGACATGAAGAAACACGACGAACTGTCCGATCCGAAAGTTCTCCGCTCGGCGGCAAAGTCGATCGTGCTGGTAAGTAGTCAAGTCTCTGTTTGAGTTATTTTTCTGCAAGTTATTGATTGGCCCCCCTTACTAACTGCTTTTCATCCGCAAGCTGCGCAAAATAACTATCTCACCCATGAACGAATGATTTCTGTTCGAAAAAGTCTGCGCGAGGCCATTGCAGACAACAAACAAAAATGGCTGAGCTAGAAAAAGTTAAAGATCGCTCAAGAAGAGGTAGTAACCAAGCGTAATTGGCTCGCTGAACGGCTGGTTAGGGCGGATGAAGATAAGCAGAACGCCCTCCAAGTGACCAAGGCCAGATACATTGTCGAGCTACGCAAACTCCGCGAAGCCCACAGAGCCGAGCTGGACAAGCAGGTTAA